GAGGAAGTTCCAAAACAAACAAACAGGCAGTGGTTCTTCATAACATATTTTAAGCTATGGGGCTCCTACAAAATAATGTAGATGCTCAGAGTTTACAGGGCTCAGAGGAAGAGCGTATGAGTTTTCAGAATAGAAATCCACTATGGTTACTAAATAGAAAGGAAATATGCCTAGCTGAGTACATCTCTAGGATGGCTGAACATTACAGGATAATTCAGCAGAAATATGATACATAATTTACTTGTTCTTACTCACTTCCTTAGGCATTCTGTTTTAGCTAGAGCTGAGGACAGGTGACAGTTGGAAGGGGGAACAGCCCACCTCTCTGCTGGATGAGTCCTGGGACTCAGCCCGTGGGCTCAGATCTTCCATCCCTTCCTTAGGAGATACTGTAATGTGAGTAGCTCTTTGCTCCCTGCTGTGAGGAAATAGTCAGGAACTGGTCCACAAAATGTGAAATACTAAAAATTAAAATTAATCATTCCTGTCTCAGTCTGTTGGCCAAATCTGAGCAAAAAATCTTTCATCATTTTTTAATCCTCTTATTCCAGAAAAAAAATACCATTATTTTTTTAGTATTACCCAAAACTAAAAGCACATGAAGTTTTAGAATAATGCATCGTTATGATTTTTTTCACTGTCATAATAAAAAAATAAAATAAAATGTTGATGGCATTCAAAAAAATCAAAACTGCTCTTCTGACCAGCAATCTAAGCACTCCATAATATTTTTAGTGAAGACATCAACCAGAAATCATTGAATCTGGGAGGATCACTCCTCTGTTTCTTTCAAATTCCTCCTATCAGAACTAGAAGCAAGGAGAAATTCCAGAGAAGTTTTCCTCATAAGTCTGCCAGCTGATTCTGCAGATTCAGCTGAATAACAGATTTCTGTGCACTTCTCTGAACAGATCCTCCTAATGACTCCTAACAGGGTGTGAGAATAAAATTAGAAAAGAGGTGGGGTGGACATGATTCAAGGAATGCAGAAACTTGACATATCTGTAGGTATCATTTAATACTTTGCAAGCAGGCACGTATTTATTTTCATCTTGTAGGTGGAAATTTTAAGATGCTGAATCTTGAAACGGATTATAATTGTGTCAACTGAAATTTCATTCAACAGGACTTGGGAAGCAATCCCACCACTTCTCATCCATAAGAAATTATTTAGTTTCAGCATAACACAAAGGACACAGTTACTTGGAAACATGGAAGCATGCTTTCAGTCTCCAGAATGGAAGGCAAATTTTAACATTTTAAGAAATCTACAACACTGTTTAGATTGAAGGCAATAATTTTGCCTCCTCTCTTTATTCTAAGAAACACATTCGTTTCCTTTAAATGCTGAGAATTGCCTTTCATTACCAAAATTGAAAGCCTGTTTATGTAGTTTTAGCTCGGTGGGATTACCATCAAGGTGCACAGATCCCACATACTGCTCGAGGTTCAGGGTCATCCTCAGTGCCTTTTTTTTTTCTTTCTTTTCTTTTTTTTTGAAGTACAGTGCGAGAAAAATCAAACCCCTCTGAGGTTTGGAAGTCAGCCCATCTTTATATCATTTTTCATATTCATTTTCCTGTGGATTAAATCAATCCTCCCACTATCCATAAGAGACTACTGGGATCTTTCCTGTGAAACCCCTTATTTTCCTCCAGTGTACTTCCCCACGATGATCTCATTCTCCACTCATATATCTTCACATTCCATCTGTAGGCTGATAACTCATCAATTTACCCCTTCTTTCATGTCTTGTCTCATTTCATCTCATCCCAGCTCATGTCTCTTCTCTGGTGTTCTGTTGTCAGTTATATTATAACCCAAGCTTAATTCACACCTTAAATTCTCTTCCTTCCGCACGCAATACTTTATTATTTAATATATGATACTGAGGTCCAACTTCTGACCCGCAGAAAAAGGGGAAACAAAATCATTTATCTTTTTGAACATTAGCAAGAAAAAGCAAGAAAAGCAAACTTTCAGACCACAAGTTCTGGAACTTGCAACATGAAGGCAGTCAGTTCATTTTATTTTTTTTTCTTCTTCCCCAACATCCTCATCATATTTGGATTTTACAGCTGATATTTAACCACTGTTGCTACATTTGCTTTGCTCGAGCTTGGGCTGCATAATAGGTACAAAGACATCATTTTGAAATCCAAACATCATCGTCAACAGCAACCAGATATCACTGTCACCATTCAACACTGAATCAATTTCAAAAAAATAGCCAATACTCCAGCACTTTTTCAAACCATTGCCTTGGTTACAAGATGTAGCAAATAGGAACGAAAGACCTGGCTTATACAATTAACTGGAATAATCTTGCAACATATCCTGTATTAATACTTTTTTTTTTTTTTTTTTTTTTTTACTAATACTTCCTACACTCAATATAGAGTGTTTTGGAATGAGACATACTAGAGCTTTAACAGTGAAGTTTTCCACTCTGGAAAGTTCCACTTAAAATGCCATCATCTTCTAGAAATGCCATGTTAATAGACTGATAGAACTACTCCTCTGAAAACTAAAAAGAAAAAAATATTATTGAATATAACAATGCTCATGAGTAGCTTTATTATAACTGCAATTTATTTAGAAAATAGAAAATATTTAGAAGGAAAAAAAGTTTTGCAGTTAAGTTTTATGTGCAATTTTTTCCTCAAAGAAGGAAAAAAAAATCCCTTCTAAAGTAGCTTGTAACTCACTGTTATCCAAATTATATACAGTTTGAGATTTGTAAAAGGAAAATCTGATTTTTAGATTTTTCTTATTTTGAGGGAATCAGATGTGCTACAATGATCACAACGTGACATTCAAAGCCAGGTTTATTTTCCCCATGATTATGAGTTTTTGAACTAAGTAAGGTCTGTAATTCACATCTAAAATACAGGATAATTGATTTGACCACCAATTTTTCTCCTTTGGCTACAAAACTGTTTCTTAATTTCAGGTTACAAAATATTCTCAGATACTAGTCTTCCTATCTATTCTCAACAGAATTTGGATAAGGCTCATTTGTCCTGTCTTACAGCATGAACTCTTCTGAATGAAACATGTAACTGAGTAGTTAAACGCCTTAAAAGTTAAAATGATTTAGATACAATTAATCTTTCTTATAGGAAAATAGTATCACTCCTGAAAGTTGAAGAGAAGAATTTTCTAATTCTACATTGCCAGCTTCTGACAGCAGATTCCTGTTTTTTTCTTCTGTCTCCAAAATCATATTCTGGGGATATTTCTGAAGGCCAGTGATCTGGCTTGAGGTTCAAAAACACTGGGAAGAAAACCAGGAATTTTTGTCGCTGTCATTACATTTTAAGATGATGCTACTAGCAACTGCTTGCATTGAAAGACCAATGTTACATTAGAAAAAAAAAAAAAAATAAAAAAAATAAAAATCAAACCAAACCAAATAAAAAAAAAACCAAACAGCCAGTAAAGAAAAAATAGATAAATGAGAATGCTACATTATCATTCACTGATCTCACATCTTACATCTGTACTGTGTGTAGCAAAATCAGGTGCTTCAATTCTGCATGCAAAGCATCTGAGGTTCACTCAGATGAAGTAAACTGTACAAGGTGAAACCAGTTTAATAGCAAAATTCAAGAGAGTAATCAATATACTGTCCACCAACACGCTGCCAAAATCACTGGAATGCACAAATAATAGAACATGAACTTGAATAATATCTGAAAGCTGGTAGTGTATAGTTCAGGAAGAAAATATTTAGGATGACTTTGTTGTTCAGTCGTATTTACTTTTCAGACAGTCACATATGGTATAATATTTAACAAGGGTGATTTTTTGCATAATGCTGACACAGCTGTTAATATACACCCTTTGGAGGTACCTGTGCTTCTGCTGGTGGGTTTCTTTTTTTCACCTTAAAATATGTGATTATGAACAACAGTTTGCAATGTTTGTTTCATAATCATTTCATTATAATAATGAGATAAAGTAAGACTGTAATGATTATAATACTAAAACATTTTCTTAGAATGCACATTGCATTGATGCATTCTGTGAACAATACTCTTACCTTTATGCTTGTTAGCAATCCAATTTGCTTCACTAAATTAATCAGTTATAAATAAATAAAAATATAAAAACAGTCAATATCACTACACTATTATTGTAATACAAAAACATATATGATTACAGGCTGATAAGCCACTCGTTTTCACATCTAAAGCAGACCTGCCACCACTTGCTCACAAGAAAGTTTGAAAAACAATCACACAATCTTCCTCCTTGTTTCAGTGAAGTAGAGACTAAACAGACATCTGTACTACTTTTCCCTTTGCACCAATAAAAGAAAGATCTATTTTCCTAAATCTATAAATCTACAACCTTGCTCTAAACCATCCTTGCTATCGAACTAGAAAGCCCAGTTTCTACAGTGGAAGAACTGCAAATGCCAAACTTTTTTTCAACTGTTTAAGATGTTCATTCTATTTAAATCTTAACAAAATCTTTGGAGTACACAAGGCCTTCTCTCACCTCTGGGCACTCAAATGAGTTTCACCCTCATGACAGCCTCACCTCTGGCTTGCTCAGATCTCAGATTAGATCAGGATCTAATTCAGTTCTCCTGGGATCATTGGGAATTGACAGTGCCTTCTTCAGATGTTGCCTTTTCACTTTTCACCAGTGGAAGTCAGGAAAGAGCCAGCTTTATCCTCAGCTCCTTAGATGGCTGTGAGTACTCTGGGTAGTAATAAGGTAAAACCTGACTTAGCTAAAAGGTAAGATAGACTATCCAGCAGCCTAAATATGTATTGAACTTCAAGCTGCAACTCTTACACAGTACCTGTTCAATCACAGCTTCATCTGTTAATTGCAGCTTTACTGATTCTTGTGACTTTTTCATTCGTTTTATGTTGTTTTATCATCACCTTTTGTGAGTTAACACAAATATTTACCCTCAAGCCTGTAAACTGCAGAGTACCTTACATCATGCAACAACTACTGGTATACATAATAAAATCAAATACCTGAACAACTTGCAGATCAGTTTCTAGCGTCTTCTTGTTTCTTGAGTTCATTCTGCCAGACTACATCATCATCTTTTGCCAGGCAGCCTGAGACAGATAAAGTGTAACAGCAGAAGAAAAAGCTGAGTACAGATTTAGTTAGAAAATGCAGAATAAACACACCAAAAGCCAAAACATCATAAAATAAACATTTAAGTACTGTTACCCCCTACAGCCTGTTTTACTGATAAATATGACATATCATGCAGAGCAGATAAACAAGAAACAGTAAACAAGCCATGTAATTTCATAGATGATGGAAAATATTTCCACTGTTCCTTTAAGCAGAGTTTTGAAGCTTTTGAACTGAGCTGCACTCAAGACTATTGGCAGTGCTTGATGCATTGCTCAATTTAGATATTCTTTGCCCCCCCCATCATTCTCATTTTTTCAGTCGAACCAGAAAAGTACATTAGCTCAAGTGTAATGTCTCCCTTATCATATACAGACACCTCACTGCGTTAACACTGGTGACCCAGAATATACACACTGGAGCAAAATTACTCTTGAAACCTAATGAAAACTTTCCCCTATTCAGGAGCTAGGAGATTCAGAAACCATTTGCAGCATGCTAAGGGAAAAGCATCTGCCATACATACCAGCATAAACTTGCTCTGAGTAGACTGCTCTGCCAGTTCATACAAGCAGAGAATTTGGGCAATGCATGTGTAACAAACCACCTCCGTGAAATATCTTTATCAGAGTAAACACCAGAGATAGCTCTTTTCTTTCCAAGTCACTGAGAAGTCTTTTTTTGGGAAAGCATCAGATCACTGGTATTAACATAAAGATAATCAGTACACACTCAAATATTGGAACTTCACGCAGATCTGGATAAAAATTAACTGCATAGTTATTGCTGACATGGCCTACTCAATTTTAGATTCACATTCATCTGAAAAAAAATAGCAGTCCATGTGATCCGAGTACTAAAATCCCTTATACCTACTACAAGTACATAACAAAAAAACCATACACATATAGTGCAAATGGCAACTAGTAGATGTATATAATACTTAGGTTTTCATACCTTCATAAGTTAGCAAACACTGAAGGCAAGCTGCCCTATCAACTAGGCACTGCAAGGGGTCTAACAAGCATACGTGTAACTCCTTACCACCCGCTGCTGCTACAGGCCTCTGCCTCACCTGGTTACAGCAGATTGCAGACCAACATCTGAGGTGCTCAAAGGTCTCACAGCAGCATGCAGGTCTCATTTAAATCCAGTAACAGATGACTGAATCACTTCTATCTGCTTAGTTTCGTCTTAACGGTAACATCAGAATCTGCACAGTGTTTTAAAATACATCTACTGTGCAGGTAAGGGACTCCTGATGCAAGTATTCTTTCATTAATATTGGTAAGTTTTAATCTCTTGTGAATAGTGATGCAAGCCTTTTCAAAAACTTGGGGCTCTACGATTTTAGAAGATGTCATTTTCCATAACAACAATTAATGAAGATTTTGGATCCCTCTGAGGACTCCCGAGGCTGACCATCCAAAATCACTAATTATTTTCCAATCTGAAGGCTAGACACCTCAGAGAAAAGTTCTGGAGCGGACACTATTTGGAAGAGATCGGATGATTTACACATCAATGACATCCCACAGAGTTCAAAACCACATCCTTTCCTGGTAGCCAAATTCGGCCATTAGCAACAAGTACATAATCTCAATAAAGTAAACTGTAGGGCTAGAGCAGTAAAGGACAGATAATGAAAACTCCCTGCACTGAGTAACTGCGGGGAGTCTAAACTGAAGATCTAATAATTGGTCTTATCTCTATCAAGGTGCAACAGAATAAGCTGATAAGTGCAAGAATGTCTGACAAGGCCCTAGGGCTCTTTACGGCTTGCAGTGAAGCTTCATTATTGTCAAGAATTTTAAGGATCATCTCATGTGGAGAGAACAAGAGGAATTTCTTTTTCCTGCCATGCTGCTGATGCGGATATATGCAAGGTGCACTTATGTAGATAAGACACGCTTCTCCCTTCATACAAGCCACAACAATGCTGAAGTTTTACTGTTGGGTTCTCCTTTACATGTCTTCTCAGGCATGCCAGCAGCAGGTGCATGAAGAATGGCCCCTGGTTGAGCTGAAGGTCTGCTGTCTTGTGGTGCAAAGAGCCCAAAGGAAAACTCACTTCAAAGAGAGAACTCCTCCTTGGAGTTCCTACATTTCCATCTGCTCTGACCAAGCCTTATTTAGGACACATTAGTATAACACATTAGTATATTCTTGCAAGTGTTTAGATTAAGAGATTTATTAGTGCTTATGAAGATCACATCAGTAGCTAACATTTCACCTTTCAAATTGAAGGAAACATTTTGCACAGTGGGAAAAGAAGCGGTCCTTCCTTCCTCAAGCTTTTACATAAGCTGATCACTACAGGTAGAAATGCAGGCACACGCTTTGTGTCTTTCTGTGTATGATGCCTAAGGGTCTGAGCATCAGGTTTATGAAACTCTTCCTTCAAAACCACAGCAGTTTCTCTCTGACATATGCAAATGATATAGTACCATGACAAGCAGAAGTCCATTTTGCACCACTAATATCAAAAGATCCTTCTTTGTCTTCTGAAAGCGTTTCAGTGCATTTAGTTTGCAAACAACTGTGCTCTGTTCTGATCCAGACCTTCATAAGATACTTTGCCTTTTAATAAAAATGGCAGGGAGACTGCCACAAAAGAAGCAGAGCACTAAAATAATGGGACTTAAACTGGCCACACCTGAATAACAGCACAGTTTGCTTATGATGAGATGCAGCTACCACATCATCTGTTACCTATTCAAAGCACCAGTTCCTTTAGGATAAGCTACAGTCAAGGTATATGAAGACATTTAAACAAGCAAGCTGTAGCTGACCGAAACCACACCCCACAAGGCAACAGAGTGGAGACTACTTCGAGATGGCCATACAGTTTAAAGGATGCATTAACATCACGTTTATGTTGCCTTATAGTATTTCAGGCATGTTGAACTCACAGCCCATGGGCTACATGCGGCCCAGCACAGCTCATAGTGCAGCCTGCTCCCTGCCCAGCGCCACCACTGCAGCAGCTCTTCCCCACCAAGCCAAACATCAGGGCACTGTGAACCCTATCTGGGCTGAAACCAGGGCATAGGATGCCGTGCAGAGCAAGCTCAAATTATGGCAAATGAGTTGCTGCACTTTGATATGCTGGCTGAACACAGTCCCGTGAACAGCAAAAAAAAACGAAGCTGTGCTTTCCATTTTGATAAAAACATTTGAGGTTTCAAGATTGCTGAAAAAAAAAAATCATCTGTTTTTCAATTTGCAACTCTGTTTTCATTCAACATAAATGCATTATTTGTGAATTTTCAGATGGAATGCAGAGTTGCAATTAAAAACTGGATCACGGCTCTTTACCAGACTTTTATACGATCTCTCTTACCAGAGAGAAACATCCCTCACTTCACTGTTACGCTTTATTCATGCCATCACTTTTTGACATCACTTTTGTACATTTGTGAACTACTGTTTTGAAGGATGAAGCATGGGAAGAGTAAAATCTCATAAAAAATCTCTACTGAACACCTTGAGAACTAACTAAGAATTGCAGTCACTGCCATTGAAAGAGACTGATGCATTGGTTTCACATAACCAAGGTCAAATATCCCTCCAGTTTTATGTTTTATTGCTCTCTTTTTTTATATGTTTTAATAAAAAACTTTAAAGAAGAAAATGTTTTGTTATTTTTTATATACATTAACTGTATTATATATTGAATGAGGACTGCTCTGAAAGTAATGCCTCCTCTTTTATTATATTGGCCCACAACATCAGAGGCAGATGGTGGTATGGCAGCAGAGGTTGGCCAGTCCTGACAATATTCTATCGCGTTTTGTTGCTGTGTGACAGATGGCAGCAGAGGGGCGATCTGACAAAATGGCATCTGACACAAAGGTGTGAAAATGAATTCCTCCACGCAAAAGAAAATGGTACCCACTGGCATTCATCGATGCTTGCTGAACATTTGTGGAGATCGAACAGTGGATGTGAGCACAGTGAGGTGGTAGTGCATTTCAGCAGTGACAACAGTAGGTAACCTCCACTAGTACAGAATTTTACAAGCACGGCGCTTGTAAAATGAGCTCTTGCTCATCACTGGCAAAAATGCATAGCTAATTGTGATGACTATGTTGAAAAGCAGTGTTTTGTAGCTGAGAACTTGCTCAATCACAGTTACTGTGCTCTTTGTAACTGTTGATGTTTCCATAGAAATAAATAGGAGGCATTACTTTTGGAGTAACCTAAGTAAATCCTTTGTAACTACATATAATTCCCTTCACTCGGCCATACTTGCAGCCCAGGCAAGGCAAAAGGTTGGATACTCATGCAGAATCCAGTTCAGAAAATAACAGTAAGCTTTGTTTATGAGGATCATATATATCTACAGGTAAAATGTGCTTCATTGTCCTTCTATTTTAGTTCTAATTTAACTGCTTCTTCCTTCTCCATCAGTGTTTTGCTGAACAAGCAGGGCAAATGCTTTAGCATTGAATCTCAACTGCAACATCCTACGCAGCAATTAAGCAAGCTTTCCACCAACAGCAATTCTCGTTTTACAGGTCATCTCTTCAGTTATTTGGAGAAATAGGAATGTTTCAGAAAATCCTTCATATAGCTGTTTTCAAACCAACTACAGCATAGGTCTCTTGCAGAGTTAAAACATATTGACTATAGCTGGGTCGAGTGAATGGTTATGCCACGTGATATTGCTTTCAAGTTTACTGATGCTCTCACGCAGTTCTGAGCCTTTTTTTGTGCATGTGTTTTCTGATAGAGACGAAAGAAACCATGTTAGAAGAGATGCTAATGGGAGGTCTGGGTTACCCTACAATTTCCTTCCTCAAGGTGATGACAGATTTTATCATTCTTACTTTGTGACTAAGTTTTATTAGTTGAGACTATAGCCAAAACTTTGAAGTCTAACTTAAATCACCCCAATATCAACCAACAAAACAAAATGAGAGCTGCATTTACACAACCTACAAGAAATTATTTTGGCAGGCCATAGCACACC